ATGTATCTGTCTGTCTGTCTGTTTCTAACTGTCCCTTATTCTTTCTTTCTTTCTGTCTGTCATTTTTTAAATTTCTGTTTTTATATCTATCTATCTATCTATCTATCTATCTATCTATCTATCTATCTATTTCAGTTGTTCTTTCTTTTCTTCTTTCTTTCTTTCTTTTTTTCTTTTGTCTGTCTGTCTGTCTATCTATCTATCAATTTATTTATTTCTAAATGTCCCTTTTTCTTTCTTCCTTTCTTTCTTTCTTTCTTTCTTTCTGTCTGTCTGTCTTTTTTATTTCTGTTTTTATTCCTATCTATCTATCTATCTATTTCAGTTGTTCTTTCTTTTCTTCTTTCTTTCTTTCTTTCTTTCTTTCTTTCTTTCTTTTGTCTGTCTGTCTGTCTATCTATCTATCTATTTATTTATTTCTAAATGTCCCTTTTTCTTTCTTTCTTTCTTTCTTTCTTTCTTTCTTTCTGTCTGTCTTTTTTATTTCTGTTTTTATTCCTATCTATCTATCTATCTATCTATCTATCTATCTATCTGCTTTTAAATGTCTTTTTCACCCCATCTATCTATCTATTTCTAAATGTCCCTTTTTCTTTCTTTCTTTCTTTCTTTCTTTCTTTCTTTCTTTCTTTCTTTCTTTCTTTAAACTTAAGCTAGCTAAAATATAATAGTACCCGAAACAATAGTGAATATAATGAGACAAAGTGGAAAAACAACGCCATTCTCCGAGAACATGTGCTACTTTCGGCTTCTTCAGGTTAGAATGAAAGACAAAAGCTATGTATGACTTTCTGGTTTCGGTTAAAATCAAACAGGCATCAACGACCCTAATATATATATTGTTGGGGATTCCGGGCTGAAATCCGGAACCAATAAATAACAAACGCCAGGAATGAATATATGAAAATAATGTATTAAGGTAATAATACAAACTGCTAATGCAGGTTAGTAGTTCCAGGAATACGGGTTAGTAGCAAAATATCTATAACAGTCTTTGGTATTGAAGTATCGCTGTATGACTTCTTACTGAGTCTACGTGCTCTCTTACTGTGACTCTTGCTCAATACGTTCGTTCGGTCTGTCTGTTACCGTCAACCTCGGTTGTTCTCTCGGGTCTTCACGTAGCAGTAGTATATGTATATACTGGGTGAGTCCATTTGTGTAAAAAGGGGTCGACCCTGAACCCCCCACCCCTTAGATCCGTTTTGGTGACAAGTTCATATCTTTTCCTTTTAGGATCGATAATCAGAGGTTCGGTAAATTTTCTTTTCCTGCTAGTCCTTCTAATTCCTGTCTCTTCTTGTGGTCTTTGAATCTCAAAAGCTTCAAAGATCGCCTCCATCGAATCATCATTTTCAGCGGGTGACGAGCTTGACTCTTCAACCCGTCTTTTATGTATTTGGTCAATATGTCTTCTGTGGGAAAATCTTTCTCCTTGTGTTGTGTACATCACGTTTCCTAGTCTGTTAATTATTTTTTTCAAAGCTCTCTTTAATTCTTTGTCGACTTTCTCTATGGTAGCAACTGGCATGTTCCGCTTCTTTTTAAATACTGGTTGGACATTTTCTTTAAATTCAATTCTGGCTGCAAACTTTTTGCATCGTCCTAACCTACTCGAAACTACCCCAGGAAATTGATTATGTAATTCTTCCTTTAACTTTGCCGCTTCTGATGATTCGCACTTTATCTTTTTTACAAAAAGAGCTGATATGTAAATCCCATACATCGAACTTCTGCATCCAGTCTGTGCCCATCAGATTTTCTGTATCTTTCATTACGAATATTTTGAGTTTTCTTGTTTTCCCGTGAAATTTTACATTTAGGATTACTTCTCCTTTGAATTTTATACGCTTTCCTGTAACAGACTTAGCAATTTTCTGTGTATGTAACATTGTTGATTTATTAAGCTTTCTCCATGTTTGTAGGTTAATTATCGTCAGATCTGACCCTGAATCTAGTTGCAATTTTATCTTTTTATTTAAGATTTCAAGTTCCACATATTTCCTTATGTTAGTATTGTCTTCGTCATGCATTCTAGTAGCTCTTATCCTACTAGTAGATTTGCTGTTCCTACATGGGGATGCTTTGTGACCCATTTTCCACACGCAAGACAGTTTTTATATTTAAAACGACAATCCTTATTCTAGTGTAGTCCTCCACATCGATAGCATGCAGATGGGGAGGCATATATTTGATTTGACTTTCGTCATTATTTGCTCTGAACGTTGTACTTTTTTCATTATTATAGAATTTTTTGTTTTCTTTCCGAGGAGGGTGAAAAACGTAAAGTTTTGTTTAACTTACGTATATGTGATACTCCTGACTCCTCAATATCCTTCGAGTCTTTCTTTATGCTCAGGCATTTTTGGCAGTCTTCCGATAGTTTTTGTAGTGTTAATCTAGGTTCCTTTTGCAGTTTTCAAAACTTTCTTTTGCGCATTTCACTATCTTTTGCTGAGACTAAACCTTGTACAAAAATAAGACACTTGAAATTGTTTGGGGTTAATTCTGCCAACTTGAAATCGTCGCAATGTTTATTCACGATTGCGGCGAACGTAGAGTAATCCTCATTTTCATCCTTTACGAGGTTAAGACATTTCCACCTTTTGTGAAAAAGTGACGTTTTCGGGCTGAAAAGATCCGTCAGGCATGTAACTGCTTCATCAAACATTAAATCATTTGTCTTCTTTGGCAAAATGTAATTCACAAATTTTGTGCATTCTTCCGTTCCTAATTTTCTGAGTAATAGTCATAGCTTTTTGTTTCTGTCCAGTTGTGACAATCGATGTTGAAGATGTCTTCATGACGTCTGAAAAAGTCCCCGAAATTTTTATCCTCTTCTAGAGAATATTTGAATGTTTCTATCGTGTTCCATACTGCGTCTTGAGAAGTCTTGAGTAGCCTCTTTATCAATATTTTGTTGTTGTGTATTACTCGCTACTTTTACAATTAGCTCCTAGAATTGTATTTGTCTTTCTTCATTTTGCATTTGTCTTTCATGATTTTCTTTCTGCGTTTGTAGTAATATTTTTTTCTATTCTTTCTTGGAATTGTAATTGCTGTTCATTTTGGTATTTTACAAGTTCTACTAAAATACTTTTAAAATCCTCCATGATAAGAGTCTTACGAAAAACTCGATTTTCCGTATTTTAATCCTCGTAACTTTGTCACCCAGTTGTTGTGGATACTGGCAAAAACGGCAATTTTCTCGTTTGAGTCTCCGAGAAGTGCAAATTTCTGTCGCCCAAGCAGTTGTGGTGAGAAGAGAGAATTTTTTTCTTTCCGTGTAGGTACCAATTCCTCGTCACCAAGTTGTGGTCGGCAAGGGAGAATTTTTCTTTGTTCTCTTCCTGTGTGAGTTCGAATTTCCTCGTCGCCAAGTTGACGAGGGAGAATTTTGTCTGTTTTGTTCTTCCCGTGTGAGTTTGATATCCTCGTCGCCAAATTGTTGTGGTCGACGAGAGAGAAGATTTTTTTTCTTCCGTGTGAGTTCGAAGTCCTCGTCGCCAAGTTGTTGTGGATTCCGTGATGAAATCCGGTACCAATAAATAACAAACGCAAAGAATGAATATAGGAAAATAATGTATTAACATAATAATACAAACTGGTAAAGCAGGTTAGTAGTTCCAGGAATACGGGTTAGTAGCAAAATATCTATAACAGTCTTTGCTATTGAAGTATCGCTGTATGACTTCTTACTGAGTCTACGTGCTCTCTTACACTGACTCTTGCTCGCTACGTTCGTTCGGTCTGTCTGTTACCTTCACCCTCTGTTCCTCTCCCGGGTCTTCACATAGCAGTAGTATATGTATATACTAGGTGAGTCCATTTATGTCAAAAGGGGAGGACGCCTCAACACACACACACACATATATATATATATGTATATGTATGTATATAGTACATTCTTCCTAATCAGTAGAAAAATTCAAATACTTGGATTTTGTTTATTTAAGCATATGCCCTCAAGCAAGGCAATAAAGCCACTAAGACGAAAGAGTTTATTGAATGTGAAATAATCTGAGTTCAAACAAACATTATTAAGTAGAGAGATACCAGAACACGCTTCAAGGAAACAGAAAATGGCGATTGATATTGTATATAAATTTTTTTAGAACAAAGTTGACTGAAAAACTCAAGTGAGAAGAGCGAGAGAAAATCTGTTATTATAAAACCTATGGTCATGTCTTGCAATTTCAACTCTAAAACTAACTGCCAATCTAGTTCTGTACGTAAATTCATATAGTCAAGGAACCAAAGAGCAAAGCTCAATAGAACAATTAGCCTGGAGATTTTAATAGAAAAGGAAAGGTACGTTATGGCGGTGAGAAAGTGACTGAAGCCGAGATGCCAGGTTAGGACTAATAATATTGCAGATTATTCTTTGGATACGTGGCAGAATCACCCGACCATCATGGCAGTAATATCGAAGGAATGGACGAACGGTAGAATGATAAATATGTAAGATAGATTCCGCCGCGAAAAATTCTCCAGCAGGACACAGCGAACTAACTTTCCTAGCAGCAGACATAGCGATTGACTCAATACGTCAATAGTAAACTTTACCCCGACAAGGTGCAGTGAGTTAGTCTTCTAGGGGTTAGAATCAGCCATACTGGTAGAAATCAAAAATAGTACTCACAGACGATTAAAAAGGAGTCAGCTGTCCAGTTAACAACAGGGTGCAGGCCCATTTTTAAGATGTGCTGCCAAGTTAGCCTTATTGATCCGATTAGACTTACAGTTAAGGCATAATTGCGTCACCAGAACAGATAACCCTAACCCTGCTCGAGAAATGATCACACTGGGAAGGTCGTTCAGGAAAAGTAAGAATAAATTTGGTCCACAATAAGAGCCCTAGGGATAGCCACATAGCCAAGAGGAGTGGTCGTTCAAGACCATGTTCATTTCATGATTTGATAAGAAAGGTGATAGAAAATTTAACGTTAAGGCTGTAGTGATCGAGAAAGCATTAAAATAGCAAAAACAAACTATAGTCCACAAGGTAAAAACTATTAAGAAAAAGGAAAATTATGTTAGAAACAAAGAAACGAAAGCTGAAATTCTATGCAGTATCAAATCTCCCATATGACAGCGAATGAACAATTACCTCACAGATGAAGAAGAGACCATGCAATAGAAACAAAGAAAAGTGTGCTGGACGGTTATATAATATCAGTCCTCCTATATGGCAATGAATGCTGGACAATCTCCTCACAGATGAAGAAGAGACTTGAGGCAGCAGAAACAAAGAAAAAGGTGCTGAACGGTTATATAATATCAGTCCTCCTATATGGCAGTGAATGCTGGACAATCTCCTCTCAGATGAAGAAGAGACTGGAGGCAACAGAAACAAAGAAAAGACGGCTGAACGGTTATATAATATCAGTCCTCCTATATGGCAGTGAATGCTGGACAATATTCACAGATAAAGTGGAGATTTCAGGCAACTAATCTGTAGTCCTATAAAAGATGCTGAGAATAGCACTGTGTGAGCATATGAATAATGAGCATTTGAAAAAATATAATCGAAACAAAAGAATCGAAACTAAATATCACTTTTTCTTTGAATAAGAACAAACCATTCAGGGCATTTCTAGGATGCGTAATAAAGAATGAAGGCTTGGCGAAATTGTCACTCCCAGGACATAACAAAAGCAAGAAGGGC